TAATCACAGATTTTTGCAGTTCCATTGGAGTCAAGCAGCACATTTCCAGCTGTGAGGTCTCTGTGGATGATGGCTGGGGTCTGTCTGTGAAGATGATGTAGTCCGCTGGTAATGTCATTCAGTATATGAATCTTTCTTTTCAGGCTGATTTCCTCTCCTCTAAGGAAGGTATTCAGGTTGCTGTCCATCCTTTCCATGACAATGACTGTTGACATGTCGGAGGCCAACTTACAAATGCCATAGTACGGTACAATGTTAGGGTGTCTGATCCGAGAAAGAACCTCAATTTCCCTGCTAAATGCAGCAAGGGGTGCAGTAGAATTAACACGGTATTTCTTTGCAGCATACACTTTTCCTTTATACCGAACTTCAAAAACGTCACCATACGCTCCTTGACCAAGTACAACAGCAGGTGCAACATGAGGTGTGGTAAGTGTAGTGATTCTTCTAACCCACCATATTCACTATAATATGCTCTTTGACCACGTACAACCCCAGTAGGCTGAACAAGATGTGTGTCGTGTCGTGCATCTTCTAACCCACCATGTTTTCTTCGACCAGTACACACGGAGACTGAAACACTCGTTGGTGGATATTGAGTGCTTTTTAACCCACCAATAATTGCTGGCACATCCTTGGGAGTAATATATGCTAAATTTATTGAGGTAATCAACACCACATTCTTTGGTATGCTGGTTCTCATAAGTTTCGGAGTACTTGCATTGATAGGTATTATTTTCCCTGAAATACTGTGTTGCAATGATCCAGTAGCTGATGATGCAACACTGACCATACTTAAAGGCATTGGTGTGTTGTGCAGGCATCTGAGCACAGGATTACTGTGTGCTGCAATACTGTTCCCCGCCGACACATCCCTTGGAGTAATGAATTTTAAATTTATTGGACCAATAGCCACCATGTTCTGTAATATGTTGCTTTTCAAAGGTTTTTTGACACTTGCTGGTGGGGTGCGCCGGTTAATGCCTATTAAAGCAGCAATAACATGTTCACTTGAAGGCCTTGCACTTGGTTCAATTTGTAGACATCTTATGATGAGTCCGTACAGTGGATGATTCTCTCCACCTCCAATAGTTGACTTCACTTTATCAAGATAATGTTGACGTCTATCTACTTCAGTGCGGGCAATGAGCTCTCCCACTGCATTTTTGTAATTGGATCCCAGTAGTGGGTGTGGTCGAGGTTTAATAACCACATAGATTGAGAGATGGGCAAAGGAAAAAATATCAAGTTTGTCATTATACTTTCCACCTTCAAGAGCCTCTGGTGGCATGTAGTCTAGTGTTCCTGGAATACGCGTTAAGTATGCTGCCATATCAACCAAACGTGAGTTCCCAAAATCACTGATTTTTGCAGTTCCATTGGAGTCAAGCAGCACATTGCTAGTAGTGAGATCTCTGTGGATAATAGCTGGCATCTGGCTATGAAGGTGGTGAAGTCCCTCAGCAATATCTAACAATATTTTATTCTTTTGTGCTAAGTGAATACAAGGACTCTCATCCAAAAACTTAGTCAGGTTATTTTTCATCTTCGGCATGACAATTACTTTTGACTTATCGGTTGCCAAACTGCTAAGTCCAAAGCAAGACACAATGTTACGGTGTTTGATTTGGGTAAGAAGTTTGTGTTCTCTTTCAAAGCTTGAAATTGCATCTGAGGTCATACGATGGTATTTCTTCACAGCATATACCTTTCCTTTACACTCAACCTCCATAACAATACCATACGCTCCTTCACCAAGCTTAACTCCAGTAGGGTGAACCGAAATAGAAGCAAAGTCTACAAAATCATCCGTAACTGCAAAAAATAAATGAGAATTAATAACAACACTACATATTAGTTAATGTATAGGCAGCGAGGCAGTACATGAGATACTCTGAGGCCGGAATAGTTAACAGCCGAGGAGGATCTCCTGTACGCGCCGAGATGCCTGCTGTTAACTGATATGTAGTCCAACTAGCCAATCACAATGCTGAATTTCTGCTGTGTCATCCTGCACTAATGTACTAATGGACTCTTGTGTAAACTTTGGAAGCCAGACAATTTGCACTACGCCTAGCGCTAGATGTTGTGATAAGGACTTCCTGTCCAATACTGATACCGGTGCAGCCCGCACCCCACAGCTCAGAATACAGCGTATATTCCTAGCACCGGGTTGTTTGAAGTTGGACTACAATGTATAATTGTGCCTTTGTGGGGGCATATTTGAAATTACGCGGTGTGTCACATGTGCAAGAATTAAGCAAACAGTATCATACTAGGTTAACTTACTATTTGAAAATGTGTCCACTATATCACGGCTTGAAGGTCTGCTGTTAGGTTTATCTTGCAAGCAGCTAATCGTGAGTTGGTAAAGTGGATTATCTGCTCCACCTTCTAATTTTGACTTCATTTCATCAAGGTGATATTTGCGTCGCTCTACCTCAGTCCGAAGAATGACCTTTCCACCAACCTCATGTTCGGAGCATTCGAGATGAACGGGACGGTGTTGTATGATGACATAAACTGACAGATGGCCAAAAGCAAAAGTATCCATTCTATCATTGTGCTCTTTGCCTTCAAGAGCCTCTGGTGACATGTAGTCTTCGGTGCCATGGATTAGTGATGCAACGATGCTGGAGTCAGCAAAATCACTGATTCTTGCCATTCCATTCACGTCGAGCAGTACATTATTGGCTGTGAGATTTCTGTGGATGATGGCTGGTGTCTGATTGTGAAGAAAATGAAGGCCATTAGCAACATCGTTTAGTACCTCAACCTTTTTCGGCAATTTCATACTCCTTTGCAGTGAAATAGTCAGGTTAATCTGTATTCTTCTCATAACAAGGACTTTTGATCCATCTGTAGCTAATTTGCACATACCGTAGTATGGTAGAATATTGGGGTGTCTCATTTTAATCATTCTCATAACTGGGGTTAATGAGCTAGAGTGTGTTGGATAGAGATGATATTTCTTTGCCGCATAAGTCTTTGTTTTATATCTCACCTCCAAGACCTTACCATATTCTCCTTGACCCAGTGTTAACCCAGTGGGATGAACAACTGCATTTTGTATATTACCATCAAATGCTGTGGAAAGATATCATTTTCTGATTAATGAGAGTCACTAGAGCAAAAACACTCAGAAAATACATTGTGGGAATGTGTACAACTCAACTTTGCACTATTACAATAAGGTCTGCATGCTGATATCCTGTAACTGTGAGTGTTCTACACCACAGAGTTCATAACAGGGCATAAAGTGCGGTAAAAAAATTAAAGGAACTTACGATTAGTAAAAAAGTCACTTCGAAGAATATTCTTGCAAGAAGGTCTTAAATCTTTATCATCACTGAGACAGTTCGTGACTATCGCAGAGAGAGGGTGTGTATTACCACCATCTAGCTGACGTGCCATTTTCTCTAGGTGATTGGCACGTCTTTCAACTTCTGATCGAGCAATGAGTTTTCCTTGTTCTTCAAACGTTGGTCCTAATATAAGGTGGGGCTTTTGCTGATTCATGATGTATAATGTTAGATGACCAAGTGAAAAAATATCGACCTTTTCATTGCACCTGTCCCTTCTCATTACTTCAGGTGGCATATATTCTAATAGTGGTCTCTTAGCTGCAGATGGAAGTATAGGCGTTGCGAGAAAACTGTTACCAAAGTCAGTAATCTTCGCAACTTCTCTCGAAGAGATGAGAACATTGTTTTCGTTCAGTCCCCCATGTATGATAGCTGGTTTCAGTGAGTGAAGGTGGCTTAATCCTTGCAGCACTTCATTAACTATCTTGAACTTACTATCCAGGGAGAGGGACCCCTTTTTCAAAAACGTAGTTAAGTTCATGGCCATTTTTTCCATTAAAACAACGGGGGATTGATCACTAGCTAGTGACCCTACTCCACAGTATGCAACAAGATTTGCATGTCGAATGCTGCAGAGTAACTTCTCTTGGCCAAAATCTTTTAATAAGGCAGCTCTGTCTGCACAATAGTACTTTTTTGCAGCACGGATAGTGCTTCCTCTGTATGCTACCTCAATTACATTTCCATGCAGTCCTGTACCAAAAACTGTTCCAGTGTGGACAACTATACTATTGTCAGGAACACAAATATCTCCACTTTCCTCACCATCTGCATTAAAAAGCACAAAATTAAGGTGACATGATAACATTGAAAAAGAAGAGCATCACTGATTTTTTGTGGTAAATATTTTTTGTGGTAAATAACCCTCGTCGTGCAAGCAGACAACAAAAGAGTGCCACCACACACAACGAGACAACAAAAGAGCGATACTAGCTAAAAGGTTCAGTGATTATAAGTTTGGTGAATTTCGTAACAGTACTGTGTTCGAGAGTTATGGCATGAAAACCAAGTGAAAAAGGCAGTACTGACTCTCGTATGCTATCTAATAATGTAGGTAGCCCATGTCAGACTCTCAGTGAGCTGGCAAGAGCATTTTACTACTGTATACTTTGCAAACTACCCCATGAATTAGTGGTACCGTACATGCATACACACACGCGTAGTGTGCCGAGCGTGTGCACTTTAGTGCCTTTCATTTTCGCCGTCAAAACGCCACAAAAACTGGGCCAGCTATATATCACTTTTTATTCGTGCCCTATACCTATACCCAGCTCAACAACAAATACACTGCTGAGCCCCTAATCAGTTGAATACTGGTGTATGAAGGAAAAGTACGCTTTAGCTATGTAGCCATTTAATGGGTATGCTCATGTGAGGTTAATGGCTAGGATGCAAGCAACCTATGCACGTACTAATCTCTAACAATCACAAAGGGTTTGTGTGCTTAACAAAAACACTGGATATCACTCTGTCGATCCGACGCTGGGTTACTGGCTTTGTACGTACATGCCTGTATGTGCCGTGCACATGGCATGAGCGTCTCTTGCTTAGGCATAGAGAGAGTTGGGCCCCTCTCGTCGCTAAACCTCTAGCCGTTCAAAAAGCTGTCATTTCTTCCCGAGATTGCCACTGACTTGCAGAGATCGCTCGCCTGGTTCATTCTGTGACATCACATAAGACTGTGTCTACATTGATAGCAACAGAAAGGACAATGGTAGGCAGTGGCTTGCAGGTTGTTACAGTGGAGTCAATAAATATGGTATTAATCCTTATATGATGTCATCTTTCACTAACTCACTCTTTTGCATCATGTCACTATAAAAGTAGAAAAAACTTCATGTACTACCGATCAGTTGTTGATATTGCACAAAGGGGGATTGGCCGCTATACGTGGAATGGTTTAAACATTTTTCGTCACCAACAGCATCTCCGATGAGGAGAAGAAGTGAGCCATACTACTGTCCTTCATGGGCACTGCAACTTACAAGATTTTATGCAATGTGGTGTCTCCGAACAAGCCAGGGGAGAAAATGTACTCTGCCTCGGTGCAAGCACTTTCGCATTTCAAGCTGAAATTCTCAGAAATTGTGGAGCGTTTCAAATTTCACAGCTGTGTCTGTAAGCCAGGTGACAACGTATGTAGCTGAACTGCGCGCGCTCTCTCTCTCCCTGAGTTTTGTAAGTTGCTACAAGTGAAGTCAAAGAGTGACACAACACCGGCGCAAACGACCCCTGCTGTGAACAAGACAAGTGAGACACCATCCGGGAGTTAATCTACGTGTTACCACTGCAGCAGCAAGGGACACACCATCGTGAAGTGCAAGATGAGCAGGAATATTGCGTGTAACAACTGTGGCAAGACTGGCCACACATAGAAGGTCTGCAGCAGAAAGTCGGCAAGTCTGGTGAGGAAACCAACTCAGAGTTTAGTGACTCTGTCACGTCAAATATGCGCAACCCATAGTATTACCAGCTCACGCCCCATCACTGAGCAAGTGGAGGTGGACAGTTGCTTGGTGGGCATGGAGGTGGATACATGTGCATCCCACACCCTGATGTGTGAGACACAGCTGTGGCCAGGGAGGAACCTACTGCCCCTCGCCTGTTAGCAACCCATTGTACTGGGATGTTGGAATGTAAACATCAAGTTCCAGGGTAAGACAGGTGTGCTTATAGTGGAAAGAGACAGTGGAAGGAGACTGTCCAACCTTGCTTGATCATGTCAGACGGGAGAGAGGTACACTCTGCTATTCTCTACTCACTGCTCTCACGTTACCCGTCTGTCTTCCAGAAGGGTCTGGGCATGCTCAAAGGCTTCAAGGCCAAGATGTATATGGACTCCAATGCTTTACCACACTTTAACCCTGCCAGATCCGTTCTGTTTACCCTTAGAGACAGGGTCGACAAGGAGCTCAAGAGACTTAAGGAAGAGGGCACTTCCGACCCAGTCAACATTTCCAAGTGGGCAGCCCCGATCGTGGCTGTTCTAAAAAAAGCGAGAAAAACAATGTTCAAATAATTATGAGGTGACTTCAGCGTCACGATCAACCCGGTGTAGAAATTGGATCGTTATCCTGAAAGTGGATGACCTGTTGTCACAACTCAGTGGAGGAAAGAACTTCACTAAGCTGGACCTTCGTCATGCATACCAGCAGTTTCCGCGGGAGGAGGAATCCAAAAAATAAATCGTGGTCAACACACATCGAGGGTTGTTTTGGCTTCCGCTTGGCATCTCATCTCTGCCTGGTATATTGTAATGAGTCATTGAAAGTTTCCACCAAGGAATCGAGGGTACTGCTGTTTATCTGCACGACATTTTTATCACCGGGGATACGGAAGAAAAGCATCTGAAGACGTTGGACAAAGTGTGGAGTCGTCTAGAAAAGGCAGGCCTCCTAGTCAAAAGAAGCAAGTGTGAGTTCATGAGAGAGTCTGCAGATGGTCTACATCGTCTTCTGGACCAAATCCAAGCATGCACATGCGCCTTGTGTTCGGCTTCCTCACCAACGTTGGTTCTAAGTCGGCTTGAGACATTGAAGCCGGCTTGAGATTTTGAAGCTGGCACCAACATTCAAGCCGGCTTGAGATTCTGAAGCCGGCATGAACGACTTCGCGGTATTTCCAACCTGCTTTCCATGTGTGTGGGCCCATTTCATATCATGCCCAACTGGCGGACAGAAGAGAAGACGTTGCCACCAGGACCATGCAGCTGGGTGTGCGGGAAGGAGATGAGACGAATTGATTCCAACTCCTACGCCAACAAACTCTGAGAAAAAAGATGACCCTCGATCAGTCTCAACCTCAGAAGTGGAACCTCCTACTCCTACCGTATCGCAGGAAGGATCGTCACCACCTGCACCACAAGTTCGTTATCCATGTCTAAATGGAAAGAAACGTGTACACTTCGAACATCTGCACACTTGACTTTGATGTGAGACTTTTGTGTTGTATTGATGCACGCATGTTTGTCCGTATTGCTTTATGTACTAAGGGGGAGGAACTTGGTATTTCCATGACTGATCCTTTTATATGACGTCTTACTCATTCTTCTGTATCATGTCATATATAAGTAGCGTAAATTTCTAGTGTGTAGTGTACTTCTTAAGACTACTATTGATCAGTTGTTACGATACTGCTCGTGAACCTACAAAGTTACGATACTAACGCAGCCATAGGACACTGTACTTTATTACTCCACTTATTAAAAATTCTTCAAATCCCAAGGTAAGGAGACTCTATTGTATTTTTGCTCGTTTCTGAAATCACATCTATATTGTTAATAGGTCGCCTCGTAGCCTGGGAATACCAGACAAATTAAAAGCACTGAAGTGCAAACCCTTGGCGCACTAGACACGCGCGGATCTCTGAGTATCGCTTCCTCACAAAAAGACATAAGCAATTACCTGGCCTCAAACTTGAAAACTTCCAGGGACACACTTCCATATGCTCCTTAACAGCAGAGACCTCTGCGACCCATTTACACCCCTTGTTCTTATTTGGACAAAACACTGGGAGCTCTCGCACTTTACGACGGAAGTGAATGTCCTTTATTGTGACCAATGGCATGGCACACATTGGGCAAGGCCTAATGCGCCTTTTCAGTTGCTCAACGGCTCTTTCAGAGAAATGTTGACCACAACATTGTGTCAGGTGAGGTTCGAGAAGCAGTTCATATAGTATTGGGCAGAAGTAATCACGTGACGGCTCTTTAACAAAATGGTAGGTTTCTTTTTCATCATCAGCGGAAGAAGGAGCCCTATAAATTATTGTACATTCATGTTGCCTTAAAACTGTAAGGCTTACCCCCCACATCCCCCAGGATGTTCATCAGGTGAAACTTCCCCATCCGTGACATCCTAGAGATGACAACACAAACAGTTAAAAGTTATTTTTTGCTATGCAAAGCTGTATTCTTACATCACTGTCTTCATCCGTAAGCTTTTTGCTCACCAGAAGTGCTGCTAATAAACTGAGTAAAATGAAAGTGGTTAGGTTTTCATAAACAACAACATAAAGACATACTAACCCTGGCACAGTCAGTGCAGCTTCATCAGTAGTAACCTGTGATGATAATTATGCACACAGTTTAGGTAGCTAAGTAACATACCTACTTGCCTATATGTATAAAAATAATACTACGTAACCCCTATGGCTCTAGCCCGTTGGGCTACGTAATATTTAACCTGAAGGTAGGCATTTTTCTTCCTAACTTGTATCCAGGAGATGGATAATGACTATGACGTCAAAAGCCCAACCAAGGCTTGTCATTGGGGCAGGAGAAGAAAGCTCCTGCTATGTTCGAGCAAACGTGCTGTTCAAATTAAACCCCTTGGTGCTTTATATGAAAAGGTGTATTAAACAATCGTGTGAAAAACTTGCTTGTTGTTTGAAGAACAACACAGTCCATTTGACTTTACCTAAGCTTTGGAAAACTTGCATATTTTACTACAGAAACTATCTACACCCACTCAGTAACAAAACTACTTACTTGTTGCAATATTTGAGGTCCAGATGTAGATTTAGGGGATTCAGCAGTAGATGATAGTCCAGATACAGTTATTTGCAAATGAGTGAGTTCAGCGGTGGACCAAGACTTGACGGAGAGACTGCTCGAGGACTCTGTGGGTGTCATGTGACCGAGAGATTGCTCGGCGGCTACATCAGGGGGTTCTGCAGAAGATGCTATTTGAAGTGGTCCAGATCCAGTTAGTTGTAACTGAGGTGGAGACCATGTTTGAGTGGATAGTGTTAGTGGTGACTGAGGGGGTTCGACAGAGGACAAGGTTTGAGTGGATACAGTTGAAGATTCATGAGGTTCGGCAGTAGATGGTAATTTAAGGGGTTCTAGTTCTAACTGAGGGGGTCCAACAGTGAACAATATTTGAAGTGGTCCAGATGATGTCAGTGGTGGTTCAGCATTGGTCCACATTTCAGAGGGTCCAGATACAGTCAGTGGTGTCTGAGGGGATTCAGCATTGAACAATGTTCGAAGGGGTTCTGTCTGAGGGGGTCCAGCATCGGACAATATTCGAAGGGGTCCTATCTGAGGAGATCCAACATTGGACAGTGTTTGATGGGGTCCAGACAGTGATGGTTGTAACTGATGGGATTCAACAGTAGATGATGGTCCAGATACAGTTATTTGCAAATGAGTGAGTTCAGCGGTGGACCAAGACTTGACGGAGAGACTGCTCGAGGACTCTGTGGGTGTCATGTGACTGAGAGATTGCTCGGTGGCTACATCAGGGGGTTCTGCAGAAGATGCTATTTGAAGTGGTCCAGATCCAGTTAGTTGTAACTGAGGTGGAGACCATGTTTGAGTGGATAGTGTTAGTGGTGACTGAGGGGGTTCGACAGAGGACAAGGTTTGAGTGGATACAGTTGAAGATTCATGAGGTTCGGCAGTAGATGGTAATTTAAGGGGTTCTAGTTCTAACTGAGGGGGTCCAACAGTGAACAATATATGAAGTGGTTCAGATGATGTCAGTGGTGGTTCAGCATTGGTCCACATTTCAGAGGGTCCAGATACAGTCAGTGGTGTCTGAGGGGATTCAGCATTGTCGGACAATATTCGAAGGGGTCCTATCGGAGGAGATCCAGCATTGGACAGTGTTTGATGGGGTCCAGACAGTGATGGTTGTAACTCATGGGATTCAACAGTAGATGATGGTCCTGATACAGATATTGGCGAGTGAGGGAGTTCAGCAGTGGACCAAGACTTGATGGAGACACTGCCAGAGGACTTTGTGGGTGTCACTTGACCGAGAGACTGCTCGGCGGCTACATGGATGGAGCCAGATAGAGATTTAAGGGGCTCTGCAGAAGATGCTATTTCAAGTGGTCCTCGTTGTAACTGAGGTATGAACCATGTTTGACTGGATCCAGATAGTGGTAAGTGAGGAGGTTCGGCAGAGGACCCGGTTTGAGTTGATCCAGATAGTACCTGAGGGGGTTCGGCAGTGGACCCGGTTTGAAGGGATCCAGATATGGTTGACTGAGGGGGTTCAGCCATAGAACATGGTAGGTGCTGAAAGAAGGTTGGAGTCAGGAGAGGAGGCAGGATGCCAGTCAACGGAGGTTTAAAAGTCAAGTTGGAACAAATTGCTGAAGGAAATTGGGTTGCTGTGTTGTTATCAAGTTTAATATGCGTACAAGAATTGAGGATGTAAATTATCCTATGTTTCGAACGAAACCCTTTATCAAAGTGTGGCAAACGAACTGTTTTTGGCACCAACACATTCACTACAAAATCTGCAGTTGTGTTTATGCTAGCAATGATTACAGCATATTGTTCAACATTACATTCTTTCACCAAACCAATTCGTAGATTTTCGATACTTTTCAATTTTACATCCTTCCTTTCTAGTGTAATTTCTAATACCAACACATTTGGATTGTGTTTCGGGAATTTTAGTGGCTTTGACATTTTACCAAATTCAATCAGTTGCGTATTTTCCAAAAAGTCATTTAGGTGCTTCACATAAGTTCCAAGTAACCCATGACGGTTGATATTTAGTCCGAACTCCTCAATGATGTAATCATACAAATCGGGATGTAGATAATCCAAGTCAAATGCTAGTCGCTCAAAGACAGTTACTACATCATTAGGGACTGGATTAAGTGGGGCAAAGGTAGCTTGCAACTTGTCTACCAAATCTAGAGTCGTAACTCCCTTGTTTGTAGTAGCTGCTCTAATAGCACCCTTTACATCACTGAACCTCCTTTTCAGCTGATGAATTTGCAAATGTAGATTTGCTCTTTCTGGGATTACGAATAGGAAAAACAGATGATTATCATTAATAATTATAAGTGCAAAGAAACATACCATAAATATCTGCAGGTTGTGGTTTTAGTACAGGAAGGGTTTGCTGTAGCTGACCTGAAAAATGGTACAGTATAATCAGAGTTAGAATGCTTTACAATGTTGTCCTTTTCCAAAAAACACCATTAACAAAAGATGGACTATAGTTACGCAAACACTCCGCGTGCTTTGAGCACAGCTCACAATGTACACGTGTAACGAACCCGGATGCCTCTTCGTAGCGCAGCCATTCCCCAACAATATCAACCTGTTTCGCCCAATTTCTCACTGTCTGTATAGCTGCACACAAGACATAGCAAACGTCTCCCGCACACAAGCTTCAGAGCGCTAGTCATTGAACACACATGTGTTAGTCTAATTGATGCCCGCCAGTAACACCTCTATGAGTGCGACACTCCCGCGCGAGAGGACAGTGCCATGCTCGATGGTAGTCTTGGTAGGCAGACTCTCCCTGGCATAGCTAGCTCTCGTGCGTGCGTTTCACCGTGAAAAAAATGCATCGCAACATTTTGCACTAGGACTTAGATTTGCGTCGCAGTAGTAGCTATTTTGTGTCGCACACTGCAATGTGAACCTGGATAAATTATTCCCTGATAAAATACATCCGTAATACACTTTGCACATTGTAGTGTAAAGCTTTACAAATTGAAGGAAAAAACTGTTATATACTGATAGTACATGTGTGGCTGGTTTGGCCGCCCTAGGTCGAATATAGAGCACTGTTGGGGAAATTGAAGAACGATGCGTGGGCATATTGAAGATATAAATTCCATACAGTGCTACATTTTCCTGAGGTTGCGAAATATAGATGTGTTTTGAATTTGGCCGCCAGAAGAGCAAAGCAAGCACTTCAAAACTAGCAGGAGTAACTTACAGCTCTCTGGATATGAATAATGTACATAGTGATCTAGTCTAGTGCATATTTCTCTGTATCACGTGATTATTGTGTAATGTGAACACGCAAGTATTGATGATTGAGTTGGGCCTTGAACAAGAGGCACCGTTAGACATCCTCCTTGATCCGCCTATAACTCTTGTGTACCGGCCAATGCTACATGGTGGGGGCAGTGGGAATTCGATCCCTGAGAGAATGACAAAATACAAATCCTCGGCGTATTATAAATGTGCACAAACATAAAGTATTGCACCCATACGAATCTGCAGGCTGGAACTGCTAATTGATGGGCTTGGCTACCTCACGACATTCTCTCTCCCGTGTCCGGCGTCTCTCAAAAGCAAGACACTGTCTGCGGCAAGTACCTTGCCCTAGTCGCCGCTCCCAGGCCTCGAAAGTTTCTGGAGCACAACAGTGTCTGTCTTCCTCCCTAAGCCTAGCTAATTAGCTATCCCAGCTGATCGGATATGATGGTTGAGTTTTGCTGCACTGAACCCTCCATCACAGAAATTTGCCGGCCTTGTAAATGTTGGTGTAACGTACAAAATAGTTAAAGTACCGCCGCGAATGCTCAATGGTTCGAGAAGGCCACGTAGCACGAGAGCGCAGTGCAAGTGTTACATGAGCTTCGAGAACTTTTCCCATTGAGTACGAGCAAAGACGGTATATACTTTAACTGGTTTGTAGTCCTTTGCCAAACTGTTCTCTATTTTCCTAACTGTTCTCTATTTTCCCCTGTAACTGTTCTCTATTTTCCTAAGTGCATGGTCCCCCACCTAACCACTAATTGTCTATGTCATCATAACTGATAAGAGTGCAACTGCACTATCTACCAGATTTGTAGTACTGTAGTACTTTTCCCTTTGATGTTGTAAGGCTTCAGACTACGAACAATACTACTAACCCTCTGCGTGCATGCACAGCGAGGTTTACTGTAGTTGTCGTGTGTGTCTGTCTGTCTTCTGTCTGTCTGTTTTCTGTCTGTCTGTCTGTCTGTCTGTCCACGAGCTATTTCACTTCACGAGCAATCAATCACTCCACAAACGATACCACGTATTCAGCGTCAGATAAAGGTCGAAAAATATGTGGGGAACTGCTGCGTTCGGGAGTTACGGCGTGAAACACAAGCAAAAAGGGTAATATGCTAATTAGAACAGGCTTACCTCGAGTGGGTCCGCTTGCCCAGTGTATCTTGAAGGCACAATAAGTCACAGCGAAGGGCGTGTATCAACTCCCGCATGCTATCTACTGCTGTAACTAGCCCGTGTCAGACTCTCCGCGAGCTATACTAGCGTGGAGACCACGAGTAAACACGTACTAATAGCCCAGCCCATCAATTAGCGGTACCGCGCATGCGCCGTTCGCCGAGGGTTTGCACTTTAGTGCTTTTTCATTTTTGCATTGCGGCTGTCGAATTACGTACATTACGGAATATGTGGCATCAAAATGTGTCCCATTGTAGTACCGTTCTATACATTCTCTGTGGTAGAGAAAACCAGTGCATGATAACAACAGGAGCGAAGGGTTCCTCATGCACAGTTGAATTCTACTGTAGTATGCGCAAACTGTATTAAAAAATTGGGCGTAGCCAAGTTCTGAGCATTTTTTAATCACACAGCTAGGCCACGTCCATTCTAAAAGTGCCCGTATGTATATAAACCAGCTCGCTCCAGGTGAAGTTGCACACGGGTTTTCTCTCCTATACATAACATGTATATGAATATGCTTGTCTCTAAAATGGGCAGCTAGTGCTCCAGAGCTATACACTAACGAAAGTGCAAACCTTTTTCCGCTTGTTTTCACGCCATATCTCTGGAACGCAGTCGTAAATTGCCTTATTATTTTTCATGCTTTCGTAGCCATGAAGCTGCTGGTATCACTCATAGGCTGCCTCGTAGCCTGTAGTGCGAGAACTCGCGTGGACAGACAGACAGACCAAGTACCGTAACCCTCGCTGCACATGCACACAGACAGGTTAATAAGCTTAGGATCACTTACATGTAGGAACAGAAGAGACTGCAGGACTGGACAAGGAACAGTCAAAAAAGGGACGGCCTCTAGCTTTTCCGGAAGCTTTCAGATGCTGATGCTTTGCAGCACTTTTAAGGACCTGTCTTCGTTTTGGCAGATGAGCTGTAGCATTATAAGTTGAATAGTGCTGAGGCCAAATGGACTTATATATGTAAATGCATACCTGTACCCGGAGACTGAGGTGCTATTAGTCTTGATCTTGGAAGTGTACATGGCTGCGTCAAATGCTCAGTTGCAAGTCTACTTTGAGAAATTGACTGATACTGAGGACCCACTTTCATCGTAGTGACTGCATTATCTGAGGCAACCTGAGATACTACAGGAGTCAAAGGGACCATAACAGCCGCCTTGCATTGAGAGCTGCTTCCTTCAGAGTCAGAAACAGTTTTCGGCACTAAAGACTCCTCAATTTCCTGAGGAAGTCTTGATCTTGGCATTGTAAATAGCTGCTCTGGATGAACAGTTGCAAACTTCCTTCGAGAAAAATCTACGCCCTCTGCAATGGATGAGGAAGTGACTGCGTTAGCTGAGGCAACCTGAGGGACTGCAGGAGTCATCACAGCTGCCTTGCGTTGAGAGCTGTTTGCCTCAGAGTCGGAAACAGTTTTTGGCACTAAAGACTCCTCAATTTCCTTAGCCAGGGCACATTCTTTCATAAGGTTGTGTTTCAAAGCGGCAAGAATAAGTCTCCATGTAGGATTTGGTTCAACTTCTTTCACGAACGACTCGACAGTATAAAAAAGGGGCTCTTGTGGATTACTGGTGGTGTGTTTTGGAATTAAATCGACAACGTCCTGGGGCAGTTTCAAAAGGCGGCCTAAAATCTTAGCTTTCTGCACATGGATCAACCGCCCAACAATGTCGGTAACATCGTCCCGATTCAGAGTCCTATCCAGGATATCCACCACCCTACCGGGAGAGGCCCCGGACGGAGCCGGTGCGCGATGAGGCTCAATGGTGACTGGCGCGGGGAATAAGGCACTTGGAGGAGAGATAAGGCTTGACGAAGTCTCCGCTCACTCCACACGACCGTAAAGCCGCACCCATCATCAAAGTCAATATGCAAGCTTAGCTTAGGGGGCAGGTCACACGTCACCTCGTGCCCAGACCCCGCCCTCCTCAAGAGAGGTCTTGAGTTGGTTGTGCTGACTCATCATTGTCGAGTGCATGCGCAGAAAAACCCGTTTTCGTTCGAGGACACGCGAAATCCACGGAGCTGGGTGTCGTATACAACGAAAAACAGGTTCATGTTCGTAGCCGCCCTGCACCACCGGCGAGGCATTTTTTATAAGTAAGAAACACGCCCGGAGAAGTGCTTCGGTCTTCTAGGAAGTTGAATAAGCCTGTCAGAACTCGGCAAGTACGCGACATCGGGGCTACTGGAGCGTTTGTAACCCCCATACTATGGCATGAATACCGTTAGAAAGAGCCTGGTACCCCCTGCCCAGCGCTTTGTTACGCTTCTGGCTCAAGAGGAGATAGAAAGGAACACTGTAAAACATCTGTAGATTTCAAAATAGTCATTGACATGGATAGCTACAGAAACCATGACGTGAGCCCATGTCGGCCATGATACAAAGTGTAAGTGAAACATTGGGTATAACAGAACAACTTGCAATATAAATTCTGTGACTATTAGTTCAGAAGACGCTGAACATGAAGTTCAGCAGCAAACCTACACTCCTTGAACTCAGCAGTGGATGTTTGTCGACGAAGGAATGAAGTACCACATACTGTGCAATATCGATGTGTGTCGACGAAGGAAATAAAGTACCACCATACACTGTCCGTACTAGACAGAGACATGAGCACACATATTATAAACAAACATACTACACAAAGCTGGAGCTGAAGACTAAGAGTAGTTTGAAAGTCAGCTGCAAAAAGGAATCTGGAGATACAGGTTGTGGAAGATAGAGATGAGTCAGTTAACTGTACACAAACCTAACTTGAAGAATGCCCGTGACTTCCTAAGTTGGTACGGAAATTGAAACAGCCGTCGACAAGTAAAAGTCTAGTCAGTCCAGTCTACAGTTAGTGTTTGGTCATGCATCAACTCGCAGTGCATGACTGGTTTCGTAAATACGAGTTACAATACTTCTTCTTTTATTTTGTTTGAGGACAGTGAGCAAAGTGAAGATTTCCGACCGTGCTGTTGTTTTTCATTGTTGACTAGCATTGTTCTTCTTGAGAGACAGCCTCGCTGACTGTTGCCCCTAGAGCACACACGGGACTGTTTGGGTGGGAATAGGCAAGCGTGAAGGACAGTACAAGAAGGGAATGTAAAGCGGTAGCATCCCACGTGTTTCTTGTATAGGCCGTCATTATACACGTACACATCAATATATGGCCAGATTATGACCAAGAATACCGCCTTCGCAAGGATGCTTGCCGTCGCATACAGTATACAAACCGGTCGTCTAACGCTTTTCCCTTCTGCCTTTTCAATCAGACTTTCTCTCAAAATTGCTGGCGATCCGGTAGAAGACAACTTTTCAGGCTTGATAGCTGTTCATTCTGCTGCCTGCGCCGCTGTCGAGAAGCGACCCATGGGCCACGAAAAACGTATCTACTCGTAGCGTCTTCTCCAAGGGTCAACGTGGTTTGCCGTAAAAACTCCGCCCACTAATCCTCGGTGCGCAAAGCGCCGTCGAAAAAGCCATAGGGCCGTTGCCAACGCCCCGTTGCTACGGAAAATTTTATGATACGTAATGATTCCGTGACGTCACTAAGTTGGTACGGAATTGAAACAGCCGTCGACAAGTAGCTAGTTAGTGGTTGGTCATGCATCAACTCGGCCCAGTGATGATGTCGTAAAGAAGAGTTACATACTCCTCTTTTATTTTGTTTGAGACAGTGAGCAATGTATTCGACCTGCTGTTGTTTTACATTGTTGACTAGCTAGAGCACGAACCCAGACTATTGTTAACGTGCGGTTAGCCAGTTAACCGAGGTCCACTTGCTTCGTTGCATGCTCAATCTTTTGCTATGGGGTTGGTTTGTTTTGTGTTGTTTTTTTTATTTTGTTTTATTTTTTATTTGTGTTTTTTATTTTTGTTGTTTTTTTTTTTTTTTGTTTTTTGTTTTTTTTTGTTTGTTTGGTTTTTATTTTTTATTTTGGTTTTTGTTTTTTTTTTTGTGTTTGTGTTAATTTTTGTTTTATTTTTTTTTTTGTTTTTTTATATTTGTTATTTTTTATTTTTGTTTTTTTTTTTTTTTTTTTTTGTTTGTTTTTGTTTTGTTTTGTTGTTTATTTGTTTTGTGTTTTTTTTTTGTTTGTGTTTTTTTTTTTGTTTTTTTAGTGTTGTTTGTGGTTTTTTTTTGTTTGTTTTTTTTTTTTTGTTTTTTTTTGTTTTTCTTTTTTTTTTTGTTTTGGTTTTTTTTGGTGTTTTTTGTTGTTTGTTTTTTTTATTTTGTATTTTTTTTTTTTTTGTGGTTTTATTTTTCTTGTGTTTTTTGTTTTTTTGTGTCTTTTTTGTTTTGTTTTAGTTTGTTGGTTTTTGTTTTTTTTTGTTTGTTTTTTGTGTTTTTTTTTTTTTTTTTTTGTGGTTTTTTTTAGTGGTTTTTTGGTTTTTTTTTTTTGTTGTTTGTTGTTTTTTGTTTTTGTTTTTTTTTTTTTTTTTTTTTTTTTTTTTGTTTTTGTATTTTTTTTTTGTTGTTGTTTTTTTTATTTGTTTTTTTTTTTGTTGTGTTTGTTTTTTTTTTTGTTGTTTTTTTGTGTTTTTGTTTTTTTTTTTTTTTTTTTTTTTTTTTTTTTTTTTTTTATTTTTTTTTTTTTGTTCATGTTTTTGTTATTTTTTGTTTTATTTTTTTTCTTTTGTGATTTTTTTTTTTGTGTTTTTTTTGAATTTATTCATTTTTTTTATTTTTTTTTATTTATTTTTTTTTATGTTTTTTTTGTTTTATTGTATATCTAGTCTGTCTGTGCAGCACTCTGTGGTGGA